TAGAGTCTGATACTGGGGCAAGCAATGGTGAATTTTGGCAATGCATATGCTGTCTTTGTGGATGGGATGTGAAGACAGCCTCAGGCCAGCTGATACAGAGCGGTCCACATTCGTGCCAGATATGTGATATATAACGTGGATGTTACAGATCTTCAGGAGTCAAGTGGCTGTGTCTGCTCAGTAAGCATTTGGTCCAAGCTTTCTCTCAGCCAAGCCTGATGTTCTGCTGGTTTTAGATATTGCCATTGTTCATTTTGCTTTGGTTTTCTCTCCGAGTATACAAAATAACAGGAGAGTTATGCAACAGTCTGAGAAAATGTTTATATAGAGTGATGCTGAGGGTGAGCATTGCACTCAACAGGGCACGCCTGAGGTGTGGGGGTCCACAGCTGGCCTCAGGACCCTGAGACAGAGAAAACTGACACTAACCTGGATAAGACAGCTGTGTACCCGTGAGAAAGAAGAGGTGCCCGGGACTGCAGATGTAAACTTAATGGAATGTGAGAGCAGCAGAAACCTGGCAAGAAAAACAGATGTGGCAAGAAGGATAAAGTCATCCAATCATGAACTGTTTGGCTTAGGTTGAACCAATAAAGTAAGGACACAAATGCTTAAGAAATATATATATATATATATTTTATATATATATATATATGGCTTGTAAGACAATAAACTTTGGCTTTTGCTTGCAACTCGATGTGTCGCATCCATCTCAACAGCGACATTAAGCTGCCTGAGGTTACAAGGCTTGCTGATGAAAGGAGCTAGGCTGCTCATACCAGAGGCAGTTGGAGTAAAATAGACAGTCACTGAGTTAGGAATGAACCAAGGTGTAAATCAAAGCAACAACAACATAGGCATATTTTGCAGGCTACTCTCTCCAGAAGCAGGCCTTGTGGTGGACCAGTTGGTGGCTTTCAGAACTTCTGCTGACTTCACTGGTAGGACAATGGACCTCTTCAAGACACCGCCTATTAGAACACTGATAACTGAAGCAAAGGAATAATACAGATGACTATCTGAACAGCAGAAATATTTGCATTTGTGGCTCTGCCACATTTTTTTCACTGTACTGAAGCATGCTTTGGTTCACCTCAAAGTCACGCAGGGAATCCAGAATTACCCCCAACCCTTGCATAAAACTCTTCTTTACAGCACTGCATCTCTCTCTCCTGCTACCTTCCCCTTCAGCTGGTTGTGCAGCTGCACAGAGGACTCCACTGCTCAGGCTTCCTCTTCTGATGTCACTAAACCAGGGCTCAAAGAAAGCCTCTGAGTGTGGAACTGTTTCTGAACTGATGCTGAGTCCACTGGGGGGTGAAAAAAAAAACCCAAGTTGCATGTTAATTAGCTCTTCTGCTCTGCTTTTCATAGAACAGAAGGTTAGCTTGGTTTAGCTTGTTGTAGCAGGCATCTGAGCTGCATGGTCAGGAAAATAAAGCCCCAAGTCAGTACATAACACACCCTGGGAGATGTTTTAGCACTTGTGTCATTAGCTAGCAATAAGCTAGGAGGGTTTATCTGGTAGAATAGCTGCTCATGGCCATGGACCTCTTCTCTCCAAAGCGTGTTTGCCTATGGTAATTATGCACGCTTGGGGACAGCAAACATTAAGGACAGCTGACCCTGTGATCACTGACTTCTACATGCTCTACATAGCCATGTGTGGGTGGAAAATAGCTTTATCAGCATTTACTGCATCCTCAGCTAATTTTGTGTTGATCCATGTAATGTTTAACAGAATTGTAAATGCTTGACGCTGCTCATCTCTATGACTGAAGGAGCAGCACAGAACAGCCAGCAGCCTGACTGTCCTGGAGCACTGTGATCATCTCACTCTTTTTTCCTGAAAGGGTGCATTTCTGCAGTCAAAGATTCTAGCTTATACATTCATTTAATTCAAATGCAGTTGTTTGGTGGCTGGCAAAAGAGAACAGTCTGCTCCACCAAGCCTCACCTGACCTACACGAGCGCTCCAGAGGACAGCAGCAACTGGCACTCTAGTAAGGAAAAATACAAATTCAAAAGCAAAGTGCTTAACAGCAAGCTTTGGCTATGTCTAAAATGAGCAGGCGGAGTTCATCTGTATTCTGAAAAAAATAAAAAAGTGCTGAGGCTGCAGATACCATTCAGGGAACCTAGCTGCATGACCAAGGCCATGGATCCCAGTAGATCAAGAAGTATCTCTAAAAGCAATGCAGCTGGGCTGGGGACTGAGAACAGTTGTGCTTACACTGTTTTACTTACACAGCTCCTTGGCTCTTCAGGATCCAGGGAACTATGCCACCCCATCCTCAGCAGATGGTAAGAAGTCTTACAAGGTGCAGCAGAGGCATAGAGGGACGGAGCAGGTATTCTCCTGGCTGGCTGGTCAAACCATGCATCTAAAAAAAGCTCATCCAGCCATGAATGCTGGTCAGTCAGCTTTACAGCACATATCTTCCCTTGGAAGAGTACCGGGAAATTGAAATATATCTTTACAAAAAGGCTGAGACTCATTGTTTGAGACTGCCTTGATTTGTTACTGGTGCACGTTACTGGGTTGCTCTCTTCTGTTATTTGCTATTCTTTGAGAGATTTGGGACTCTGCCTTGGTTTACTGTTTATATATGTTACAACAGTTGCATTTGTTCAGTATCGTGGTTGGGTACTCACAGTGATGGCACAAATTTTTTTACAGCTTTTTCAAGTGCTAGAGTCTACAGTAAGTGGTTTTCAGATCTTGATATATTAGGTGGTCCTTAACAGAGATACAAAGAGAGTTATTAGGTTGGGAGGAGACACTGTGGCAGAAAGATTATCATTCAATATATAGCTAAAGTTCACCATTCTTACATGAATGAACGAGGCACCTTCTTTATTAATGAGGCCATAAGGACTCTACTGGGTAGAAATAGAAGACGAGATGTGGACACGTAAGTGGAGTCCAGTAGGCTGGGTAGCGTAACTGAGCACAAGTGGAACTCCTTGCAGCTCCCTCATGCTGAGCCTGGCCCTCAGAGCATAGTGCTGGGCAAAATTGTGTCTCCAGATAAACAGTGATCTCCATTTCAGGTATCATACAGGGCAAAGTAGCTGCCCTTGGTACAGAAATCTCATTTCCAATAAATATTTGCTTAGGAGTTGCTTCCCCTTTGGGATGTAACTCTCTACTGACCAGTTCGGCCCCGTGGTCTTTGCTCTCTCTTTGGAGTGATGTGGACATATGCCTATGATGTCCAAGAAAACTAGCTTCATCAGCATTCAGCTTTGTCTTTCTAGATAATATGTATTCGAAGCCATGTAATGTTTAACAGAGGAAGACAGCAGTATGAGTAAAGCAGCAAGAAACAGCACAATCCATATGAGAGAAAGACCATTCTGAATGTAATGTAAGTACCCAGTTATCTTTACTTTAACAATTTTGATGCAGCTGTATGCCATCTAGCTAGCAAGTCATGGAGCACATCTGCTTTCAATGGTGAAACCTGGTTTCTAAGCTCTCAAATGATAGCAGAACTTGATTTCAAGAAATACCGAATAGCAAATTGTGGGAATACATTATAGAAGCTCCACAGAGTATAACTCTGCTCTGAATATTTATCCCAAATATCTCTTTTACATCTAGAATAAATCCATTTCATTAACAATGGGGAAGTATTCTGACTTCCTAACTGTCAATCTTATTTTTCATCGTTACTAAAGTTCCCTAAAGCTTACAGCCAGATAACCAAAACCGTGGTGAATGAGCTGTCTTATTTATACCAGCATGGTCCAGACAGGATTCACAAATTGATTTTGCTATGCCAACCTACTCTAAGTCTTGATTTACTCAGGCAAAGCTGCAGAAGAACAAACTGGCTCCTTTTTGCCCAAATCTTAGTGGTCAGAGTACTGACACAGGATGGGGAAATCCCAGTAAAATTCTTATCTGCTCTGCTGAATCCATGTCTCTGAATGGCTCTGCCATTGACTGGGGGGCTGAGCGAGTAACTCCTGTGATCTTCTTCGCTGAAGCTGTTTCACTTCAAGTAGGACATTAGATGAAGGCTATTTGGAGTTGCTTTTCTAGTCATTAATACAATTTTTTATCAGAACAGCTCTTACCTGTTTTTTTTTAAGAGGTTATACATCTAAATGTCCTAGACACTGCAAATCTTCCCATAATATTCTTGGTCTAACCTGTAAAACAGAAAGCAATACACAAAATAAATGAATAAATAAAAGGCCACAGTTATCAGACATGGCTAAGATGCCACAATCCAGCCTCTTTTGCTGTGCTCTACTCTGGCCACAGGGTTATTTGCCTTACAAAAAGAGGCTTTCCTGCTGACAGAAAGTTTGGCAAGACAGGAGGGGCCAAACCTACACCAGTGACCTCACCCTCTTATGACCAGGATGGGGAAAGTACACACAGAGAGGAATCCATCTGGAAGACATACATCACATGAGCGCTTAATTAAAATAAAGCAATATATTCTGATCTAATCACATACTGAAGCAGAAAATTTTTACTAGCTATCTAACGATTAGTCACTTTGTATATTAAAGTGAGTCAGAAATGAGAGAAAGAATACCACTTTTGAGTGCTGCAATCTCTGAGTTTTCCACTGGCATAACACTGTCATTTGACATAAGTCTCAATCACTAACAGCATAATAATCCTGAGAGTTCATAAACATAAAAGAATTAAGAGTTGATCCTGGTGTGCTACCTCACCATAAAACAGATTTACACAGAGACAAAAAAAAAAAAAAAAAGGCAAACAAACAAACAAAAAGCACACCAAATCACCCAAACCCCTATCTTTTCACTTCTTCTTTCCCTCTGATTCTTATTTTTCTTTAATACTCACATGTTTCTTTCTCCAGTAACAAGAGACTTTCATAGCCGGAGTAAAGCAGAACCGAACTAGACAAAAACGGATAGGAGTTACAGATAAACTCAGAAGCTCAAAGATTTAAAAACACTTCCCTAGTAGACGAGCAGGTCAGGAGATAGCAGTGATTACCAGCTTGCTGTTGAAGGTAGTAGCAGATAGAAATAAAAGATGAGATGTTGACACAGCTGACCTCCAAGACCATTTCCCTCTTTGTCCACGCAGTAGCTGAGAAGAACGATGAAGGCCATCCTTCCCCTGTGCTTGCTGGTGGCCACGCTTCACCTTACTGTCCCCAGCCTGACCCAGACTGACCACCACAGCGCCGAGTCCCAATCAACGGACCTCCAGGATCAGCATCCCCACGAGGGAGGTGCTCTTGAGTCCTGCCAACAGATAGTCCCCAGCAACACAGATTTCGCCTTCCGGTTTTACAGGCAAGCAACCACCCAAGAACCGGTCAAGAACATTTTCTTTTCCCCAGTCAGCATCTCCTCTGCCTTCGCCCTGCTGGCCCTGGGCTCCAGAGCCACCAGTCAGGCTCAGGTGCTGCAAGGGCTGGGCTTTAACCTCACCAACACCCGGGAGGAGGAGATACACAACGGCTTTCATCACCTCCTCCTCTTGCTGACCCACCCTGGCAGCCAGGTGCAACTGAGCATGGGGAACACCCTGTTCATGGACAAACACCTGAAGCCACTGAAAACATTCCTGAAGGACATCAGAAAACTGTACAAAGGAGAAGTTGTTTCTAGTAACTTTCAGAATTCCACTGAAGCTAAAAAAGAGATCAATGATCACATAAAGAACAAAACCCATGGGAATATAAACCAAATACTTAAAGACCTCGATCAAAACACTCTAATGGTAATCATTAACTACATTTATTTCAAAGGTAAGTTACATAGGTGTTACTTGCTGAAGTACATTGGTTTCACCTGCACTAAAACAAATACCCTAAATAATTTTTGATTTATTTTTAAAAGAAAGGCCAGCTTTAAGATTAGGCTATTATGATAAGGAACATTGAAAGTTCTCACACTTTGAAACCTCCTCCGCATCTAAATTTTTCTAGCATATGTTTAGGCTCCTAAGCACAAAAGTTCATTTATTTGCAATATTTAAGTTTTAGGGAATTACCAGAACACAACAGATTTATACATTTTTAATTTTTTCTGTCAGACTTTATCTACTTGTTATTTTAAAAATTATGATGTTTTCACATGTTGTATGAGGTAGAAAAATAAATTCCAAAGATGCAGATTAACAAAAATTGCCAAACACTTTAATTTACTTACAATCCATGCCTGTTAAATGGGTAGGTACCTCTGGAGTTGGAGTCTGAATGCTCTACAGCTTGTCATCACTTTTTACATATCCCAAGAGGTACTTGCGAATGCACTGCTTTGGCAATGATTAACTTCCTCTTAGATGTTATATCCATTTGTAGCAGCATGCAGGACATACATGAAATTTACTTCCCAGAAAGGCATGTTTGGAAATAGATGAACTTTCAGCAAAACAGGTTTTATTTCAAGCACTTTATTAAATTTGGGCACCCTCGTCTCAGGTGCCCTAGTCTGAGGCATTTCTTTACGATACGGGATTATATTTTTTTTTTTTACTGGGGGGGATGGAAGGAAAGCTCAAACTCATAAAGTAGCCAGAGTATTATTTAGTATACATTCCATTATTTATTTTTCAATTTTATTTTATTTATATTCAATGTTAAAAAAAAGAGAACATACTTAAAGAATGGAAAGCTGTGATCCCTGTGTATTTGTGCAGTGAATGACCTGATTTAATACAAAAATAAAACATCATAGAAAATTCAGTTGAATAAGCATAAAGGAAAAACCATTTTGCAGATTAAATCCCTTGAAACCCTATTCCATTAATCCTAACACAGTTACGATCAGGCCCAAAAGTTCAGATTGTTCTTGCGTGTAAGATTTTCCTTAGTGCTACAAGATGAAGAACATATGAAAAAGCGTGGAAGGAGCATAACGTGCTACCTTTTAAAAGGCAGACATCTGCTGTGGAACCTGTTTTACAAGCAATATTCTGAAACCATAAAGTAACTCGTTGGATCCAGGTCAGCTTTCATTTTCTTCAAATAAAATGTAATGAAATTAATTTAGTTTATCTGACTTAGAAAGGTGTTGTACAAGTTCACATGAAATTGAACCTGGGATATTTAGTTGTTACTGAACACAGTACAGCAAAGATGACAGGGAAGAAGATCTTTAATAAACTCAGAATACCTCTGATCTTCAAGTATGAGTGTAAATCTTCAGACATGGGTTTATCTGGCGTGCATTAGTCTGAACTATATTAATATTTCGTCCTTGAAATAAGCATTCGATTGCATTCTTTCTCTTTTGGTTTTAAGCTTACTGGGAAAATCCTTTCAACGTTAAGGGGACTCACAAGGATTATTTCCATGTGAATGCGAAGACCTCGGTTGAAGTGAAGATGATGACTCGAGATGGATTTTATAAAACATACTCTGACAGGAAGCTGTCTTGTGAGGTGGTGCAGATTCCTTACAAGGGAGATGTTGCAGCATTGTTTATCCTGCCCAATGAAGGAAAAATGAAACAGTTGGAAGATTCCCTGACAAAAGACACTGTGTCTAAATGGGAAAAATCTCTTGAAAGACGGTAAATATAGAATTCTGATCTGATGATTCAAGGTAGTCAGAATCCAAAGTCTGAATACTACGACCAGCTTTTAGTTACTAGACTTTGTTGTTGATTGGAGATTTAATAAATGGAATAGGTATAAAAGGACAGACAAATTATTTGATACTTTCAACAAAAATTAGAATCAGCATTGCTTTGTGATGAGGGAAGAGGTCTGCAAGCTGGGAAATTTAATTTTTTCCCCACACATTTTCTAGTTGATGTTAAGTGTTTCCATTTCCCTTGTCTCAAGCACAATGTGTTAAGAGTGGTAATACTGCAACATAGTAACCAGATCCCTCAGAAGGAATGAGGTGTGAATTCCAAAAGAAAAAAACTTTTGAGACTAGGAAGAGAATGCAAACTTAGTCCCAGAAATGCTGGCACCACCACTGCTTTCTCTCCCATCAAGTGACTGTGTTACAGAATCATACAAGAAAGCCCAACTGATGTCATTCTCCTTTCCCATCCTCCTGAACATCATCTTCCCATCTTCTTTTTGTTACCACCTTTTTCAGATGAAAAGACTAAAATTTAGCTCAGAAGAACCCCCCGCAAGTTGGAAGTCTTCAGTCCAAGGCATGCTTTTATTCCAGTAACTACCATAATTTTCTTTTAAATTACCAGGAGGATAGAAGTTTATATTCCAAAACTATTTATTTCGGGCACCTATGACTTAAAGAAGATGTTCATGAATCTGGGTGTAACTGATGTGTTTTCTGACCGGGCTGATCTGTCTGGAATCACAGGAAAGCCTGATGTGAAGGTTTCAAATGTAAGTTTGTCAGCAGAAACAACGTTCTGTGGATTCCTCAATACCCAATTGTCTTGCCCTAAGCTAAGATGTGAAGTTTTACTTATTGCTAGGGCTGGCTGATACTTTGAACTAGAGCACTGAGCTGATAAAGTAACTTTAAACTCTCTCATGCTTCTCCAAGATCTGGAGATAATGGTGTTGTCTTCAGTCTGACAGGCAAAGGTTGAGAGGGGTGTAGCATTTCTCCCAGAAACTAAACACAGCCCAGTTTCTGCATGTGGAGTGCCCGTGGAGATCTGTGCTGGGGATGCCTGGCATTGGCATACCTAGCAGAAAAAGTGGCTTTTTTTCCTAACATCTACATTCTATAGTTTTAAAGGATTGAAAGCCATTGAAAACCCTGATGAGTGCTAATCATGTAAGACGGACCAGACTTGAGGGAAACATTCCATTTCCTGAAAATAATGTGAAGGGAAAGATATAAAGTGATAAGAAAGGCTAGCATTCTTACAGCCATTCTGAAAGCAGTAAATACAATGTTCTAACATTTTGGGGTTAGTAAAACAGAAAGATTAGAAATGCCGAACAATCATTTCAGGAAAATTAATATCAAGGTTGAGTTTCTACTGGCTAAACTGTAATACATGTGCTATTAGGGATACATACAGAGCAGAGCTTCCTTTCCCTCTGAAATTGTCATTCCTTCTGAATTTACTTGAATACTTTCAACTAATTCCACAAGGTGTGCAGTCCCTACGGTCTGTGTTGGATACACTTGTGTTGAGGAACTCTGAATGTGAGAATACTTGCTTATTGAGACAACATTGCTAAAAAACTTAGTGTTAATTTTAAACACTTCACACCTCGTCCTCCACGTACATTAATTCTTGCTGTATTTCATTTTAGGCTGCTCACAAGGCCCTGCTGAAGATTCATGAGAATGGCACGGAGGCTGCAGCAGTCACTGGCACAGATTTTCTTCCTCATTCTGTTCCTCCTGTTGTTAAATTCAACCGTCCATTTTTGCTGTTGATTATTGATCAATATACTCACAGCATCTTCTTCATGGGAAAAATTGTAAACCCAACTGAAAAGTGACTGGTCAGTAGCTGGTCAGTGATTTGAATTGCATTCTTCATGCAGTTATAGTTCAATGTGATTAAAATTCTATCAGAAAGTTTACTAACAATTTTATTTTCCCAAACAAATGGGGCAAGAGTGTTGTCATTCTTAAAAATACCGTTCTTGCTTCCTGCTCCAGTAGAAAGTAACCACTGAGGTATACCTGTTCATGAATGATGAAGAATTTTATGTATCAGCCTTTTAATGACCAGCGTATGCCATCAAAACAAGGTAACTATCCAGTTGAGAGAATCACTTTAAAACATTTTAGGTAAATCAAGATTGAACAAAGAGGCCACTCCTGACTTGGGGTTGGAAGAAAAGAAAATGCTGAGGTTTGCTCCAGCTGTTGTCAGCTCTCACCAGGTCCTGGTGCTGAAGGGCTGACATGAAAATTTAAAATACAAATGCAGTCCAGGCAGGGATATCTTAGTTCTTCTCTTCCAGATGGCTGTCACTGATGGAGAAAGGTCATGTATTTCCATGAGAAAACGCTTGCTCACCTCTCTGAGGATGTCTGTGCCAATTTGACTTCTCTCTCCTAACACAGCCTTATGGATGCAAGGCAGTGTCAAAATCCAGAGCCAAGTCTCTGCAGTTGTGAGGATCTGGAGCACCAAGAAAAAGGAAAGGGATTCGTGCTGACAGAAACACAGCCAGTCTGGTGTAGCGTCAGCCTGGCTCCCTCCCTGTTCCATCCTGTGGGATCAACAGCAGATGTTTAACAGTGATAAATGTATTTAACACTGCTCAGGGGTACAGCAGCATAGACGTAGGTTAAAAAAACCCAGATACTTCTCATTGTGTTGAACCTCATTCAATTTCTTTAAATATGCCAGGTTAGGTGATCAGGAGTTCAATTTTTTTAATCAGAAGTTTGGGTCTATAGGGTCATGAGGTCAATTTGATAATAGAGTAATTAGTACCCAAGCAGGAGCTACTCCATAGAGTCCAGCCTCTCCAAGGCAACTGTATACCTGCTCATACCGGTCTGTACAGTCAGAGCATTTGCCTTGGGTAGAGGATATTCAGAAATATTCATGTTCAGACTCCTCCCTTTCCTGAAGGCAGACAAACCCAAACCTCCAACATCCTAAACTCCAGGCTGGCCAGGCTAATCCCTGAGAAAGGAGAACAAGCATTGGCCCTGGAGTCCTGGTAAGGATATTTGCCTGCACGCTGGAAATCCAGGTCTGCCCTTCCCTGGAGGGAGAATGGGTTTGGCAGAAAAATCCTAATGAATTCTCTGCAAACTACACTGTTGAGTAGGTGGTGGATGAAGGAATGATATCTTGTGACATCAGTAGGGCTTCTAGGAAAAGGCAGGCATGGTTTCAAACCACACGTTGGGGGAGTCAGCCACTGCCAGTGCAGGCCTAGGCACTTCTTTTGAAAGTCAAGCCTTTTGCCATACTCTCCTTTATGACATTCACAGCTGACGACATCTACCCACACATTGTGTTGGCTTCTTTGAGTCTCCCTTTAAGGTAACAAACTCTCCACAAACATCCTATGTGTGACCAGTGGCTAAATCAGAGCTGGGGAATATTTTAGTTCGCTATACACCCAAAAGGTGCTACTGGCATTGCTTTTTAGATTTAACAAACGGAAGTTCAGAAGGGATAGGGTATGAATACCTGGAAGGGGTAAAACAAACATTGAGATCAATTACATTCCCGGAGTTTACATCTCTGTTAGTAAATAAAGTGCTCCAAGGTCTGCTCTCTGAAGTCAACTGGCTCATCACAGCTCATACCTGTGTTGCTTAACTCTGACCCTGCAAGATATCTGGACTGCTTATTCAAATATCCCCTGGCCTGTGTAAACTCCAAAAACATGCTTAGCACTTGTTTGGAAGAATTGTAGATGGCATTAGTGATACTTGTTTCTGAAACTGTTCTAAAAATGTAAGAAAAGGAGTGACTGCAGGCTGATGGCCAGGCCTGTGCCCCAGTACTGCTCAATGTACTAGGACAAGTGGACCCAGAGTGACCGACTGAGTGGTGCGAAGTCATTCCTCTGTCATCCAGCCCTAGAAGCTCCCTCTCTGCCAGCAATCTGCCTTTTTTTGAATGACAATAAGTTCCAGGTCATGCTGATAGGTCTTCACCAGCTACTTCCCAAAAGTGAGGGAACTGGAGACCCTTTTCCCTTCTGTGAAATAAGATTAGGCAGTTCAGGAAAAACCCTTCAAAACTACTGAAAGCCACAAACTGTGAGACTCCCGTGTACTTCTCATGGATGTGTTTTGGTGGTTTCTTCTGATTGGTCCTGTGCATTTGCAACTGAGCATGCTTATTTTCAAAAGGTTGGTCCTCATTAAGGATTTGTTCCAGTCCTTGGATGATACAACACTTCGATGATGCAGATACCTGAAACACTTCACAGCTGAGCACATAGAAACTATCATGAAGCGTAAAATACTCAAGTTGAATTCTATTACATTGTAATATAAATGAACTTAAATGCAATTTAAAATGTGATACAATTTACTGTGGAGGCATAACCACTGTCCATTGTCCATGTCCCCTCTCCTCCTTTAAAAAAATTGAAACCAAGATTTTTGTTATGAACCAGAAAGTCTGTCACTAGTTCAGGGACCTGATGGTCTTTTTACAGTTATGCAAGGTGTCTATTAGGTGCTGCTCTGGCTCTGCAAAGTGGAATGAACTGGCAGAAAAGGTCTATCGGAGAATCTACCTTGCAGCTGGATCCCCCTGTTGAGAAAGGCTCAGCACCCAAGACCAATGTCATGCAAGTCTCTTTCCCACAACTGCACAGAGGCAGGGCAGGCAGAGATGGAGGTGATCAATTGCACAGCTCCCCACTCCTTGAATCTGACAGCGATGTTAAAAAAAGCAGACCATGACTGCAGTAATACCACTGCCAAACTAGTGATGCATCAGAGAGACGTCACCAGATCCCCTGTGATCAATTCATTCTCATAGACAGTGCCGGATAAAAGGGAAACATGTATTTTTTGACTGTTAAAAAATGTTAGAAATGGTTTTACTGACAGATCAGAAAGATAAATGTTACTATAACCTGATAAAGTAATAATTATAGAAGTTCTGAAAGGGACGGGTGGATGAATTTAGGAGTTGTTTCCGGCATGGTACCCAGATATGAAATCTATTTACAATTAGATCAAGAAATCTTGAACTGGCTTTAATTTTTCTTTGCTCATGACTGCATGCAATGCTCCTTTGCTGCACTTGACCCTGTTGTTCCTGACTGTCAACAGTCCAGTGGCCACAAGCAGAAGAAAACTAAGTGCAGCAGGAGCGGCATCCCCATGAGGGAGATCCTTTTGGGCCCTGCAAATGGGTAGCCCCCATCAACACGAACGTTTTCTTCCAGTTTTACAGGCAAGTGACTGCCCAAGAACCTGGCAAGAGTGTTTTCTTCTCCCTGGTCAGCATCTCTGCTGCCTTTGCCCTGCTGGCCCTGGACTCCAGAGCTACCAGTCAGGTTCAGGTGCTGGAAGGACTGGGATTTAACCTCAGTGATATTTGGGGGGACCCACCGCTTTCCTTTACTGTCATTTATATTAATTCTGGGAGTTATACATGCCATCTCTAAGTTTTTGTATCATTATACTTAATTAAGATTTTTGGTCTGTAGTCTTAACTACTTGAGTTTGATGCATCTTTTGGAAAAAGAAATTCAAGCTGCAATTCAATTTGAGACCAAAATCTTGGTCTTGCAGTCTATCTGCTATTACTTATTTTCTTCCCTGTTTTACTATAGTGATTTTTATAAAACTTATAACAAGTAGTTTTGAAAAGCCTTGTCAGTGTCAAGCAGGTCTAGAATTCCAATGTCTTCATCTGGGAACTTCATGGAAAATATAACAGTAAAACCTGAGATGAGATCTCAGTGAGACATTACCCATCTTGAACATTAGCATGCTGGCTGATTGATTCCAATAGAATTCACATCGGGCCTTAAGTGCTTGTATGCTCTTGGAAACACACTTTCTTTCAGTGCTAGGAGATTAGGTATAGACAAAGCAGAAAACATAAAATATTGCTTTCTACAAACTGATGAAAATGATCATCTGAGGTGAAACGTCTGTTATGAGAAATGGAATAACATCCTGGTAATAAAAGAACTTTATTTCCTTCTGAGATGTAATGCAGAAGAAAAAAATAAGAAGATTATATGATTCTGTTTATACAGATTCCATCTAGTAAACTATGAGTTCAGATGAAATTTTAGTTCAGAGATTCCTATTGCACTGGTGAAAGAAGCTGAAAATGTCTAGTTTGTATTTCCAGTTCTGTCACAGACTTTTTGCTTAGCCTTCAGCTTTTTTTTTTCTGTCAGTCATGTTGTTTTTCAAAAGGGAACCAGATGCACTTTCTTTATCCCAGGAGAAAAGGATAAATATTTGTAAGATGTGGAGAGGGTATTTGGGATGCCCTTTACAGAAACAGATAAAAATACAGAGAGGACTTCATTTTTATTCTAGTTATAGCAATTTTGCAGTGATGCTATTTTTTTTTTTTTAATGGAATAATTTCCATCAAGAGGTTTATACAGATGAACTTTTGCAGACAGAACGTGAGTGATACGTCTTTATAAGGCAACAAAAAATGGCTGCATGAGGATATATCATGTAAAGTACACATTTCTCTTGCTCAATCCTTATCATCTTGCTGATGTTTCGTTTCCACAGCCAGAAATCCTTTGCCCTGAAAAACCCAGAAATATAATTTACAGAGCTAGCATATAATAATCTGACAACCAAGTGTCAACAGGAGTAAATTAATGATATGGGATGAAACTGCTCCTGCAAGGAGGAACCAAGACATATTGCATAACTGAGCAGAGCCACTGGCAGACAGTTACAAAACAGATAATTAAATTATTCCTTAATTCCTTCCATATAGACCTTTATCAGGCCAATGGGAAAAGCACATCTGTCAGTCCTTTATGAGACTTCCCTGACTCCTGGAGCGAGTCCTTCTGTC